AGGAGGAAGAAGAAGAAGAAGAAGAAGAGACGAGGAGAAACTACCAAAATGGCGTATCAATGGATTCAATTCCGCAAAAGACCTGCAGCGGGGAACGCGCGTTTGCAAGTTCGAACAGACGATCACCGCGATAACACACCTCCGCCCGAACCCAGGGCGACTAATTGCAGAACCCCTCCCTCACTCCCTGACAAATGCACATTGTCCCTTCAAAAAAAAAAGAAGAAAAAAAGAAAAAGAAAGATGCGCATTGTACAAAGGTTCGATGCTAAGCGGGGCTCGGGCGCTTGAATTGGCTTCATCATAACTTCATACAAGGACTTTTTCTACAGGTTTCTGGACGTAATTGAGGACTTGTTCTACTGGTTTCTGGACGTAATTGTGGTCAGATACATCCCGGTCCTGACCGTAATCGTGTCCACTTACATCAGTCAAAGTCCTACGTGCACTTTATACGACTCTATACATCTCCCAAGAATCCACCTCCACTACGCACAGAGATTCAGGGTGTACCCACACTCGGACTGTTTCCGCGGACTGATCTCTGGACGTAATTGTGGTGAGAAACATCCGCACCTGGCCATAATTGCAGTCACATTCATCCAGGAAACTCCACGGTGAGCTTCATATGACTACATCCATTCATGCATCTCCTGCCTGGAGTCCACCTCCCCTGTGCATGGCGGTTCTGCAAACCATACAGGTGATTCCAGCCGATCCACACTTGGGACTGTTTCAACTGACCCGGGACGGAATCGCAGTCAAATACATCCAGGACTGGCCACAAGTGCTGTCACATACATCCAGCATTTTCCCATTGTGAACATGCTATCAGAACCCCGGACATCCCACCCAATTTCGCACGACTACAGAATCTCTATCTCTCTCTCCCTCTCTCTCATGAAAACATCACGCTCTCACCTAAAAACATCACGCTCTCTCTCGACATGGTCCTCTTCCACTCCTGTGCTCTCGCAAACCATCACACACTCTGAGTCTGTCAATCTTCTCGTCGCTGACCTCACTCTCCTACTCTCTAAAACTCGCCTTCTGTCTGTGGCGGACCCCATTTGTACTCATGGCTCGCTCATTTGTACACATGGTGTCACACTTCCACTCGTACTCGACCTCAGTCCCTAAATTAACTATAACTCGCCTGCCTGCTGTCTGTGGTCCCCACTTGACCTCAGTCCCTAAATTAACACCTGGCTTCCAACACACGGTTGACCATCCTCATCAGTGGTCCCCACTTAATTTGCAAACGAGCACCGTCACGACTGCATTGGCACCTAAGGCAGTCGATGACGCTCTGACGATACCGCGCCGATGTGATCGGAATGTCTAGATGCGATGCATATGTGCTCCCCACCTCCCACCACCACTCTCGTCCTTCCCCGGCGTCGACCAACTTACAAAATTATCCTTCTCCAGAAATGACGAATCAGTCTCTCGCTCACTGCAGCCAGCGTAACCTACCTACGGCAGCCGATGACGCTCTGACGATACCGCACTGATGTGATCGGAATGTCTACACACGATGCATGTGTGAATCTCTACCTCCCGGCATCACTCTCGGCGTCGACAAACAACAAGATCATCCTTGACCAGGAACGACGAATCAGTCGCTCGCTCAATGCAGCCAGTGTGACCATGTCGACTCGTCGAGAAGCAACAAGATCAGCCTCATCCTCATCCTTATCGAGCAATGATATTAATCAGGCATTCCCAGCCTGCAATATAACTAACATCCTTATCGAGACTGATATAGCTGACAGGCGGCATATACAGTTGTACTCCCAACCTCCCCCTCCTCCCCTCCCTACCTCTCACCTTCCCTCCCTCCTTCCATCCCTACATCCTCCTGCCCCAGTGCTGACCCGCTAGATGGCCAGCCATAACAAAGCCTCAAACCAACCAACCAACCAACCAACCAACCAACCAATCAATCGATCAATCAATCAATCAATCAATCAGTCAATAGATCGCACACCAGACAGGATGGCTGGCGCCACAACCTTCTTCACATTTCCGGCGCAAGACCTTGTGACGGTGGTACCCCGTGCTCAAAACTTGGTGGCCTTATCTATCAAGAGCCTTGACACCTGCCACCGTCACCCATCACCTACCATCCCTTGTCGCACTCAAACGCTCCTCCAACTGCTCTTGCTGTTAACTGCAAATGGCTTTTCCCAATAGCATTTCATGGCCACGTTCGATCGTCCACCTTTGACATATCTATCAGTCAAATGTCACTCACTCGGTGATTAAAAAACATCCATTGCAGCCGTCGGCAGCCGAGGCATCGATAGCTCCCCGTTTCGACAGCAACAGCATCAAAACCCGTCGCGCACTTACTGACAGATATCTAATCAGTCAACAGTCACTCAGCCGGCCATTAAAAAACATCCACGGCCGCCCTCGCTCTGGTGTGTGTGAAAAAGGACTCTCCTTTGACATCAGCATCAACTCGTCGCGCCTTCGCTGGTGGGAAAAGGGTCCCTCTTCTACCGCCCCCCCCCCCCCCCCCCCCCCCCCCCCCCCCCCCCCCCCCCCCCCCCCCCCCCCCCTTTCCCCGGCTAATGCTGCTGCAGCTACTTTCGGCCAGCTATACGCCCGTGTATATGCTGCCGAAGGCAATCGCGCAGTCCCTTTTTCAGCCTTGCACAATGCCCTACACTCCTCCAACTACATTCATCACTCACATGCGGCGCTTGGAACAATTCATTCATTGATTGAATTTCATTCACAAACCATGCACCCGTCCTCCTCCCTGTTGTTGCTGCTGGGCCGCGGCTTCCGCATTCATCCTGAGAACAGCACCTGGCGACGGATATGGTCGCTGCTGGAACAAAGGGCCCTGCATTATCATAAAAAAAAACAACACACGAGCGAGATTTCAAAAGAACGTGACTTTCATAATTTTTAATTTTCAATTTTACAAAAGAGCACACGGAAAAGCTTCGAAAAGGCCAAAAAAAAAAAAAAAAAAAAACATGTGCGGGCAACGAAATCGTACGAGGAGTTTTTCCTCCCATGCCAGGTGCTCATGTTTGTTTATTATGTTTAGTTTTCGTAGTACGGCCTTCAGGTATCCTCCCTGAGGCCAAAGTTGTTCCTTTTTTTCTTCCTTCTGCATAACCTACTTTTTTTCTCAGATTTTTAGAGCTTTTTTTTTTTTTTTTTTTTTTTTTTTGCTGGCACATTCTTTGACCCTTGCACGGCCGGGCCGCCCGGGTCACACCTTGTTTGCCCGGACGGCAACGCCGTGCAACGACCAGGGGAAAGGTCCCGAGTTAATCACAGTTATTTTAATTGAATGTGGACTCAACTCTGGTCCATATTCCAAACGTTCCCATGCATGTTCCCATGCATACCAACTGAGATAGCCCCCTTTGGTGCTTTACCATTACACTATCCTCTCTCCCCGTCTCTATCTCTCTCTCTATCAATCTAAGTGGAGAGAGAGAGAGAGAGAGAGAGAGAGAGAGAGAGAGAGAGAGAGAGAGAGAGAGAGAGAGAGAGAGAGAGAGAGCAATTCAGTCTTTCTCCGCAACGAATCCATCTTACACACTCCACACCGTTTTTGACCTTTGCCCGATATCGTCGTCCTCCGAATCCAATGCGCAATTAGTTTTTCGACTCTATCAGTCCATAAAGACAATTCGTATGCATTCATTTGTCCGGGTGCAGCGGTGGTGATCCAACACAACTATGACCGCGGCAGCAAATTCCCTTTTCTTTTCGTAATTTGGACCTTTACTGATGAAGAACGAGGAGGTAAAAGGACGAAGGAGGAAAGAAGAAGAAGCGAGGACGAGGAAGAAGGAAGGTTGGAGGAGGAAGCAGGAAAAAACGAGGACGACGACGAAAGATGATGGAAGAAGAAGCGAGGAGGAGGAAGAAAGATGATGGAAGGACGTGTGTGTGTGTGTGTGTGTGTGTGTGTGAGAGAGAGAGAGAGAGAGAGAGATGTGTGTGAGAGTGAGATGTGTGTGAAGGTATCTCATACCGTTGCCGTGGTGTCAGCCACCTTGGGCTGTACGCCCTTCAAACCCACACTCCTGTCGTCATCGAAAAAGAAAAAAGGCAAGCGCAAAAAGACCAAATTGTCAGAAAAAAAAGACAAACAAAAAAGAGTTGTTGCAAAAACCGTCAACAGCCTTCTTCACCCGAATAGAACGCCCCCTCATTATAGGGGTTGTTCTGCCTTTAGCCCAACCCTCAGTCTATAGTTACGCCGATAATAACCGGGCGTTCTATTCGGGTGAACCAACGAACTACCAGACGGTAGTCACAAATAACCAACCAAGGAACCAACGAACCAAACGAACAAACGAGCCAACGACCCAACCAACAAACCGATGAACAAACGAACGACCGAACAAATGAACAAACAAGAAGCAGCGACCATGGACGCTTTGCAAATCACGCCCAACTCTCCTCCAACCTTTCGATGAAGTTTCAGAGTTTCGAAATTCGAATTACCGCGGGGTCGATCAGTTGGATAATGATATCTCAAGGCCGTCACCCTCCCCTCTGCTGTCTATCTTGTTCGTTCTAAAAATAGCACCAGCAAACACAAAGAACTCTCTGCGGCAGCCAATCGTCTCTCTATGCCCACATCCTCTCGACTGCGGCAGCCAATACTCTCGACTACCTTTCTAACAACAGACCCCCTTTTCGCAGCAACCCTACGGCCATCCCATCCCCTCTGATTCCTATCTTGTTCTTTCTATAAATAGCACCGGCAGCACAATGAACTTGTGTGTGAACTGTATCAACCCCGGAGCCGTGTGTTGGGCGAAACCGGAATCTGGATCTAGTCCTTATCTCCATAATAGTACAGAAATGGGATGGTGTACAGCGCCGTACACAAAAGCAGATCATACCAGATAGGCAGCAGGTGACAGCAGGTGACTTGCAATCCACCCCCAAATATGCGCTGCTCCTTTTGCATCGCCTTCTTTTGCAGTAAGCATACAGAGCTTATACATAACCTTGGGGATGCGTTCGGCCGTTCGGGACGGGCCGAACGCCCGAACGTATGGGACCCCTTGGGGATGCGTTCGGCCGTTCGGGCCGAACGCGGACCCCAAAAAAAAAAAAAAAAAAAAAAAANAAAAAAATCGAAAAAATCTGAAAAAAAGATATGCTATGAAGAAAAATAAACTAAACAAGATTTGAGCATTACATCCAAATTGCTTGCCAACTTTGAAATAAAAAGAAATTACGAAAAAGAAATACTAATAATAAAAATAACAAAAAAAAAAAAAAAAAAAAATTTAGTGAGTTCGCGAGCACGTTTTCGACACCGCCATCTTTGGCGATTTTTCATTTTTTTTTGGCATCGCTAAATGCCCTGAAAATAAACAGATGTGTACTTCACATAAAGAAAAACACACTAAAAAAGTTAAAAAATAAAATAAAATTGTTTAGACCCCGAACTAAAGTGAAAACAAAAAATGAAAAGTGAAAAAAAACGTGGGCAAGCACGTTTTGACACCGCCATCTTTGGCGATTTTTAATTCTTATTTGGCTGAGCCAAACGACTTGAAAATTTAAAGGCGTGTACCTCACGTCATAGAGAACTCACAAAAAAAAATTCAGAAAAAAAAAGAAAGTATTTTTAGGCCCCGAAATAATTTTTGGCGGGGGCCGAACGCTGTCGGGTTCGGACCCCGTACGGGACCCCGAACGCCCGTACGTACGGGGGTCTGCCCAGGGACCTCCGTATGTACGGGCTGGTAACCCTCTATATATATATTTCCCGACAGGTTTTTTTTTTTGGCCTCTTCTGGAGCATATGACAATGGCGGTCGGGAAGAACTCACCACCCCCCTCTTGGGGCGTCGGAGTATGAGCTTGGGTCCATCGGATCGAGCTCATCAGTTTCAGGGTCCTTGCGATGTCCCTTGCGACCTGACGACAGCCCTCTGCAGCAAAATTACAGCACAAGGGTCACCCCACAAAATCCGCAGACAGATTAATTAAAAAAAAAAAAAAACAATCTCAACGCACAGGTTATTAACAACAAAAAAAGAGAAAACATACTCGAAGCAGAGATCAGTAGCCAAAAAGTTGAAAAACCCAAAAAAAATAAAAATCTACTCACAGATTGGCAATAAAAAATAAAGAAAAAAAATCCACGCACTGATCACTAACAGTTCCCTAGCCTCTACAGAAGCGGGAAAAAAAAAAAAAAAAACCATAATGGAATGACCA